AAAATATTGATTTATTTTTCATTCTAGTTTCACCTACTATGGAAGGAGAAATGTGTCAATTTCCATATTATTTAAACGGATGGGATATGTACTTTTGTCTTTATCAAGAAAGTATACAAAACTATATATGTCCAACAAATTTAGGAAACCAAACATGTATCAGAGGTTAGTTTTTGAAATAAAATATTACTGCTTTTCATAGAGAATATCTCTAAAAAAATAGGTCAATATGCATATAAGACTACTTCGAATCCGCTGGGTTTTGTTGCAATTTACAAATCAGTTACAGCTATAACTATAAACTCAACTGATGAAGATCAATGTCTTAGTTTTTATTATTATTTTACGAATAGTTTTCGAGAACCATCTATTACTTTTCGAATGAGTGCAACATTAAACACATCAAATAGTCGAACTATTGTAACTGTCAAACCAAATGATACAAATAGATGGTACTATAGTCAAACAACATTTAGAGTAACACCAGATGAGTATTCTGTAAGATAAAAACTATTATTTCATACAAGATTGGTATTCATTGTTATTTTCATAGCTCATGATAGGTTTTAATCGCGCTGCAGATTTGAATGATAAAACGAATTTCACTTTCGCCATTGATAATATATCGATTACAAATGGACCATGTTGTAAGTTAAAAAAAAAGATGCTCTAATATTTCAGTAATTATCTTATTTTAGCTTATGTTTTCAATGATAGTATAACTACCGATGGTTTAATATTTGTAAGATTGTTGAATATATTTACTGAACGGATAAGATCAGTATGCAAAAAAGAAAAAAAAAGATATACTTGTTGATGTCATGAAAAGAAAACAGAATTAAATAGTTTTTATTTGGAGCTTAAAACTCTTTTTGTTTTTGTATTGAAAGGATTTATTTGCTCGCTAAATAATAATGAATATCATGTAGATAAGTCCTTTATTTTGTTTTAAACAATTTTCAAGTAATAATGTTAAATACATTCAATATCGAATATTCAATTCAAGATTATTTCGTATCTTTTAGAAGAAGCTAAAAGCTAGACACAATCTCGATATATCTCCTCAGTACCAAATAAATCAATATAACGTTTTAACTCAAATGTAATTTTAAATATTAGATATATGAATCAAACTCTTGTGTCTTAATTCAAAATAGTTCTATTGTGTTTCATATTTTTAAAGTCTAGATATACTTTGATTATGAATACATGTACTTAGAAATATTAAATGTAATGTATATAATATATTTCTTTATTAATGATAAAATTCGAATTACACACTATTAAGAATTACTCTTTGACATAAACAAAATTGAGTTTATAATTTTAATAGGTTATGAAAAAATTGAATGAATCTTTGAAATGTTATAATGAATTTGATGTTATATCAGTTAAACCATAAGGTTTAATTGTTTGGCATTTTATTGATGAATTAAGTAAAGGTATGGTTTGATCCGTTTTAATCTTTTCAACAAATGAAGCAAGAGCTACTTTTTGTTTAACAAATAATGATGATGATTCAGGTAACATAATTGATGTTGTTTGTGTTAATGAACTTGGACGTGTAGAAATTGATAAATGATGAAATGAAGTTAAAAAATTTTCACTTTGATATTGAGAATTTTGTTTTGTTATTGGTACTTGTGATAATGAATAAGTACTAGAAATACTTTGTCGATAATTATTATTTTCTGGTATTTTTAATAAATGTTTAGGTGCAATTATTATTTTAGTATGACATTGACCATGGGAATAGAAATGTTCATGTACACCTTGTGTTGGATTATGAAATGATATAATTTTTTTTGCTCGATATCTTAAACGTTGTGATGATGAAGAAAAAAATCCACGACGAGACCAAATAAATAATCGCCAAAGTTCATGACGAAATATTCGACCCGTAAAAGCATATAAGAAAAAATTTGAAGCTAAAATTAACAGACAAAAGAAAAAAGAAAATTAATTTATTAATTAGAAATTTTAAAAGAAAACTTACAATGATTAATATATTGAGATATTTCAGCTATAATTTTTCCTATAGTAATAGCAATATTCATTTTCTTTGAACGTTGTTCTATATCAGAATAAATTGCATCGATTAATTGCATAATAGATATAGGCATTGAACAAATACAAAAAGCAAACGATACAGTTAATAACATTGTTGTTAAACGACGATTAACACGTCTATATGCTAAGGCTTTTGTTGATATATGTTGATATTGTTTTTTTTTTAATTTTTTTATTAACGTATTTCCACTAGTATTTGTTGATGTTGAAGAAAATGATATTGAAGAAGGTTTACTATTTATATTATTATTATTATTATAAATAGTTGATGTTTGTTGTTCTAATAATTTATTTTTATTTCGTGCATTTAATAAACTTTTTATAATTAATATATTAAGTGTTATTAATAATGTAAATGGACAAAATGAATATTTAAATGAATCAAACCATGTAAAATATTTTAAAAATAATGATTGATGATTGAATGGTATACAATGAGATTCTGTTAATGATAAATGAAATGTCCATAAAAAATGTGCATTAATTAAAAGGAATATTATAAAAATATTTAAAAGAATGTAACGTGCTCTTTTTATAGTACAAATTTGACTAGCACGAAGCGGTTGAGAAACAGCTATATATCGTTCAAATGTCATTGCAACTGTTATCCATACACTGAAAGAAAAAAAAAAAATTATGTATTTTTATAATCAAAATTTTGTTTTTAATTCGAGCGATAAATAAGAAGATTTCGAATCATGTCATAGATAATATGTTATTAATGAGAGAGCACATGATTTATTGGATATCAATAAATATAGAAACCTTTTTCTTTTTTTTAAATTATTCTCGCTAATTTTGAAAATATAAAATTCATCAGAATATTCTCATTAATAGAAATGATGTTTTGGTATTTGTTTTGTTTTTACTTGATCATACTTCGTATTTTGACAATTTTCTGAGCATCATTCTCAATTTAGATGAATCAAAAACTTTCCATGATAATAAGACGTAATATAAAAATAATTATTTCTTATTAATAGAAGTTTCTGTTGATCGTTGGTATATATTGTCACGATCTTTTATAAGGGCATAATCCAAGTTAAAACGTTCTTTTAATAAATAGTTCATTCTTTTTGTTACCATAATTATCAATAATAACCAATTAATTCTACTCAATGATCCTTATATGAAAATAAACTATTCTCAAATAATATAAATTATTTAAAAAAAAAAAAAACAATGTCGGTATAGTTTGAAATTATACTAACGAGAGTAACTATAAAAAAAAAATCTCGGTTAAATTTAAATCATGTTAAAAAAAGATCTATCTTCTCTAATAATATATCTGACATGTGTCACCTACAGTTATAAAATGATTAAAAAGAACAATTATTAGATTTCATTACTATGAACGTTAATCTAAAATACCATGAAAATTTTTGTTACTTCTTACCTGCAATCAGCAAAGAAAAAAAATGCAAATGTACCCAATTTGCAACACATATTACAAGCTAAAATTGGTCTTTGTTTTTCTAATAATTCTAACCATCGATTAAAACAACCAATCCATAGAACAAATGTATCAGCTATAGCTAATGCAGCCATATAAAAACATGATGATGAATGTCGCATACGACCTCGTCTCATAACAACAAATGTTAATGTATTACATGTAGTTCCAATTAATAATAAACATGGTAAAATAAATTCTTCACTACGTGAAGCTATTTGAACAAGATTATTATTATTAATATAATCGAAATTTGTCGAAGTAGTATTCATCATAATGATAAGTGGTTACATCTCAATAACTAAAATATAAAGATACAGACAGGAAAGATAGATCAAGTTACAAAAATCACTATCATCCAATTTCAAATGTATTATTAGGTGGGTGGTTGTCATCGGTGAAGGTCTATTCGTGCACATATTTTATGTAAAATCCAGAGATAGTGCTTTTGTTATATACTCATAGAAGAGGTTAGAGGTTAAAATAATAATATCAAAGTTAAATTTCTACTATATAGATCTTCCTCAAGTCATCTACCGGAAATTTTCTATATGCAGTAATTATGCAAACGAAGAAAAATGAAAGTATGCTCAGCATCTCTATCAGTATATATATATATATTTCTTTATTAAGAATAATTTTTTTCCTTGTCCGTATGGATATTTGTCATAGGATTAAAACTAATACTTGTGAATGAGCAACGCTGTTTATAGTAGTTGGCGATAGAGCGTGACTCGCTTTAGTTTTAATCAGGATTCATTTTCTCGTTTTATTTTATCTATTCTTATCCGTATGAAGACGGTTATATACACACACACACACACACACACTCTTTCACATGCCTATATATCCATCTTCTCTAAATCAAATCAATGCACGCATATAAAATAAACGTAAAGCAATCGTTAAAATGATTATGATTATATCAAAGATGAGTAAAAATTTTAAAGTTATTATTAAATAATAGAAACAGAATATAAAAAGAAGAAGAAGAAGAAAAATAGCAATGATTATTAATAGATACCTACTCGTTTACTTTTACAGTTGTTGGCAAAAGCAGAAGCTTAAAAAAAAAAAAAGAATTAGAATTTTATGACGAACAAAGAGTAAAAGACTCAAAAATCTACTTACATATCTCTTTAAAAATTTACTTTGTATTGATCGAACAATTGAAACTTCCGAGAGTTCGATTTAATGGTTATATCATTCACAAAAGAGAAATTGATTCAATTTCTTTTTTTTAGAAGATGCGATAAAGAGAAAAAGACGTATAACTAAAGTTATAAATCAAGCTACCACCAAAAATCAAATTATGACTTGATGGTCGTTTCATGTACATATGCAAAGACCCTAATTACTCTCATTCATTCATTCATTCATTCTTCTTTTTTTTTTTGCATTATTGACATAGCTAGTCGACCGAACTGTGTGTAGTCGGAAAACAGTTTCGCTACCCAGATTACGTAATTGACGAGCGCATCCTCTTTCTCTTATTGTCTCTCTCTTGCGCTCTCTCTCTCTCTCTTATGTGTCGCTCAATCCAACTCATTAGAATATATGTTTTCTCTTTCTTTTTGAATAATTACACTAGCAATCGTTCTTTTCACCTTTTCACATTTCAATAAATCTTTCATTTATCATAAATTCATCTTTTTTTATGTTTCAAAAAAAATATAAAAAGAACCAAGGAACATGTTATTTTCTATAATTATCACACAAAATCATATAAATATTTATAGTCTGTACATCGAATAGTATTAGATCAATGTTAGATGTGTTCATAATCACTGTTTCAGTTAGATGATTATTTTGTTCAAAATGTGTGTAACATGAGTTGTGCATTGAATAATCAGACGAGGTCGTTTTGATTAAGTCCAGCAGACAAGACATAAATAAATAAAACGGTACCAATAAGAAAATATTCATACCAACCTTGCAATTATGTATTTACATATATCTGTGTTCATATGACATTAGACAAAACAATGAATGTTCTAAAGATAAGAGAACAATTACATTTTCTTTTAAGTAAGTTGAACTTTAGCCACTATCGGATTTTTGTTTGAAAAATGAAAACAATATATTTTATAATAATGAAAATATTTTCAGATATTTTATAATTCGTCTGAAATTTTCGATTTGAAATTTACTAAAAATCTTATTATAATTTTTATTGTGCATATAAAAAGAACTAAAGAAGACATATGTATGTATACGTTTTATGTCAATGACAGACGTCAAGGATTATGTGCTCATAGACCAGCCTGGATATAGATAAATAGACGGACGGACGGCGTCATAGAAAAGAAGGATAATATAACGTTGAACAGACTACTGTGCCGGCGGCAAACATATGTTTGGATATCGAATTCTACGAGATTGCATAATTACCTCATCATCATAATGTATGTTGTATATAATGTGATTAACAATATTTACTTATTTAACGATCCATTGCAATACACATAATTATATGAATACCATAGATTATGACTAGTCGGCAAGACATTAGAGAAAATCGATAATAGAAAATATTCCATCAAAATTAGATGATTGGATGTAAAATATTAAGAAAAAAAAAAAAAACTATAATATTTAAATGAATTATTGAATACAAAACAAAATTTCTATTGAACTGTGAATATAAAAACTTATTATTAATTATTCTTGTCGTTGATAATTAATTAAGCTTATTTTCATGCTAAATCGAATTCGATGGAATCAGGGTTTTTTTTTTTTCTTTCCTACTTTTGACTAAGAAGTTTTATTATTTCAATTGAACGTTGTGATCACAATTAATATTCAATTTCATTAATATATCTAATCGAATAGATAATATTTGTATTGTTATTTCTGTTAGATATCTTTAAAAATAAGAATTTAATAAGTATTATCATTGAATATTTTAATATATATATATATATATATATGTTGTCTTAAAACAAAACAAAAACCTTCGTCGCCTGAATGCTTCAATGTCTTTTGTTGTTCAAAGGTTATCATCAGTATTATAATTATGTTTTCTTTCATTTCGTTACAATTAACTTCATGGTCATATTATCATCTCTGATCATCGCGTATTATCTTTATACGATTGTCTGTCTGGCTAATGAAAATCAAATAAACAACCATGATGACATCGGCGACAAATTCATATTAGCATCATAAAGTTCTAATTTCGATCACTTTATATTTAGTATTCTAGGAACAAAAAAAAAAAAAGAAATAGTGATGACGAAAAGGTTCGACATTGTTCCTAGCAGGATTCATTTTTTTTTTTGTCTTTTCCTATAAATATATATCATCATATTACAGTGAATAATTATGAACATTATCTCTGTCAAGGTTTCTGTTTAAAAGAGAAAAAAAAAAACAAAACAAAACAACGATTTTCTTTTGATTTATATGATTGTCAAATATAAGGTTCAATTATCATATGCTATATCTATTGAATAAGTATTCGATTTATTGGAAATAAGATTTAATTCAAATAATAAAAGACTATAATTTATAAGAATATGATCTGAAAAGAATTTTTATAAAAAGAAAAAACACAAGTACATCTATTTTTCAAAAATTTCAATTGTTTGTTCTTTCCCTTTCATTAGCAGGAAATAGTGTTCCATCAATTCATTTCCGCACGAACAGTTTAGTAGTTTGTGAAAAGAAAAATATCGACAGTAATATAGGTGTATATATATATATATATTAATATCCATCTCATATGACCATGATGATAAATCCAATAATCTATATCATAATAATATTTAATAAATAAATATGTTAAAAAAATATGTTTTCAAAATGTCTTGTCGGAAACAGATATGACTATTTTTGCTTTCATTTGTTTCAAAGTGATTAAGAATATTTAATCTTTCCTTGTTACAATTAATTTCTCGTGGATTATTCTAATGATGAACGGAATTCATAATGACCTTTCCAATAAGTAAATTTGTCTTTTTAGATATTCATTTCTTTCATCGTTATCTATTGTAGACGAATTATCCTTCGAAATATATTCTTTCAACACATCATCAACTTCTAGACTATCTACTGACATGACACGTCACAGCGCACTATACTTTACTCGGTCGAAGATCATATACCAATACGACTTAAGTCTATATACTAGTATCAATATTCATATTCAAGATTACATTAAATAATTGAAATATTCGACTTTCAATAATATACTTGGTAAAAGATAATTATTTCTTTAGGTAGGTTACTTCATTTGAAATATATATAAAAGTTTCTCATTGCAGAAGAACTATTTATTTTTAGGATTATTATAACTCTACATTCGAGTCATTCATTGAAAGCATCTAATTGAAGGAGAAAGGAAGGATTAATAGAAACCTGACAATGAGGGAAAGCATTTTAGACAAGAAAAGTAATTTCTCAGAATTCTATAATGAATCGTCTACGAATAGATTATATATATATCAATTTTTTAACATCAAAAAGAAGTAGTGTATTTGAGCAAATAGGTTCTTTCCGAAAAAAAAAATTGAAAATCAGATGTCCAAGAAAATGAGGAGTCAAAATTGGACAAAGAAGAGTCTAACAAATGTCCTTTTTACATGGATGTCCTTTATAGATAATCCCTTTTTGTTCCCTTTGTAAGAGAAAAAACTTAATAGATTGATTGATGTGTCAAAACTGTTTATGTCTTTATTAGTATTTTAATGAAAAAATCTATATTTAGTGATGGGCAGAATGACTTTACATGAAAGAATACAAACTCTGATAATCCTAATACAAAAAAGAAAAGAAAAAATAGACATTTTTTTTTAAATTAAAAACATTTGAAATATTAATAAATTTAATTCATTGGAATAAAGAGATTATGTAAATCTACTAAAAGAAGCATATAAAAAGGATATGAAAAGACATATAAATCATCAAATTTTCCTTTTCAATAGCTTCAAATTGATTTAGAAGATTTTTTAATATTAGAAACTAACATAAATTATTTTCTGCTTACTTATCGTCCTTCATTTTCAGCTTCTTGTAATGTATTTCTTTCTCTCTCTCTTTTTTTTATCACATTATACTGTTCGTTTGTCTTGAACATGAATTCAAAATAATTGATAATGGCAGCATATTGCATATATATCCAATCTTCTATACTTTACTCATATCCGGACTGATTGGTATGAAAAAGACAGCAAAAGCTATGATCTATTTTGGCACGGATATATTTTATACGATTGAATAACTTTCGATCCGAATCTCTCTTGTTTTTTTGTTTTGAAGAACGTCACCAATA